TCGGGGGGGGGGGGGGGGGGGGGGTTTGACCTTAAATGTTTGAGAGCTTCTCTGTTCTAGCATTTAAAAGCTTCTATGTTCTAGCGTTTGAAAAAATGTTTCATTTTGAAAAAAAAAAAAAAAAATCATTTGACATAGTGTTTAACAAAGCTCTACCAAATACCATCTACATGCTTCCTAATTTCTATTGCCCGCTACTTGCCGCCAAGTAGTTTTGCCAAACACGATCTTTGTTGTTTAACAAAATGCTCTCAACTAGGTACTCGCTTTCTACTATTATTGTGTTTATTTTATGATTCGGACTATCCACATGTTATTTTTTTGTTTTGACTATCTTTATGTTATTTCTTTGTTCGAACTAACACTATGTTATTTTGTCGTCCGAACTATCCGTTATTTTTTTTCTTCCGACTATCCATTATTTATTTTTCGTTCAAATTATCATCGTCTTATTTTTTAACTTGGATTATCTATGTATTATTCAATAGTTTATTTTTTACAAAAATAACAAAAAAAATACGGAATAGTACGAACAAAAAAATAGCACAATGTTAATCAGAATGAAAAAAATAACACATAAATGGTTCGAATAGAAAATATAACACAAAGATAGATCGAATGAAAAAAAATAAAAATAAATAACAAATGGATAGTCGAAATGGAAAAAAGTAACACATGAATTGTCGGAACCAAAAATAACATTGAGATAGTGTGAACGAAAACTTAATATAAGGATAGTTGGAACGAAAAAAAAAAATTCACATGCATAGTATGAACGAAAAAAATTACAGAACAATAGTTGGAACAAAAAAAAAAAACTAACAGAAGAGTTGTCGGAAATAAAAAATAACATGGAGATGGTCCTAATGTAAAATAACACACGAATAGTCTGAATAACTAACACAACATAAAGATAATCCGACCTAAAAAATAATAAAATGATAGTCTAAATGAAAAAAATAACACAAATAGTCCGAACGAGAAATAACATATAAATAGTTCGAATGCAAAAAATAACACAAAAATTGTCAGAAAAAGTAACACGCGAATAGTGTAAACTCTGGGGAAACATCGTATATTACGTACGTACATATCAGAATGTTCTGATAGATGAGAAACTTTGTATACTATTCGACTAAACGTTTATGTTCCTATCTGATCATAAATAAAATAAGCTTTGTTTTATTATTATTATTTATATTATTGTTATTTTTAATATTTTCTTAATAATAATAATAATAATAATAATAATAATAATAATAATAATAATAATAATAATAATATAGGAAAAAAAAACAAAAACAAAAAGAAAGTTTAAAAAGGATAATGCGTGCTTATAGAATTATCGATTTTTATTTAGATCCTCTTATTTATATATTCTCATCATCTGCAGAATTCATTTCCTCAAGGAGTAAGAAAAATAAAAATTAATAGCGGCATGGAGGGGGAAGCATACAATTTCATTTTAGATTGGAGTGTAGCTGTGGCATCTCTCTTCTACTGTCACAGTATTGGCAACTTTATTGCACCTGGTACAACTCGATTCGTGGCTTTGTTTCCTGCTATGTTTCTCTTCTTCTATCTTCCATTAAATCTGCACACCATGTTTCTTTGTGGTCCAACCTTTTTCTTCATTTCGTGGCTTGGAAGCTTCAAGCTCGTTCTTTATTCTTTTGGTAAAGGCCCTTTATCTTCACAGCCACCCCTCCCTTTATCTCACTTCATTTCTACCGCTTGCCTTCCCATCAAGGTCAAAAGAAACCAAGAAGACACATCCGACCAAATCACAAAAAGGCCTCAAAGATCCATCATAGATTATGCTCCTAGAGTTTTTCTCTTACTGATAGCAATCAAGGCCTATGACTATAAAGCCAATCTCCATCCTCTGTTGTTAACATCAATCTATTCCTATTACATCTTCTTCTGGCTGGAGTTAATCCTAGGTGTGGCTGCTTCTTTAGCTCGAACCCTAGTTGGCGTTGAGCTTGAACCACAATTTGATGAGCCTCACCACGCAACCTCTGTCCAGAACTTTTGGGGAAAAAGATGGAACCTTATGGTCTCTAGTATACTACGCCCTACAGTCTACCACCCATCTCGAGCAATCTTTAGCCGTGTAGTTCCTGAAAGATGGGTGTCGGTGCCCGCTGTTTTTACAACGTTTCTTGTGTCTGGGATCATGCACGAGATAATATTTTACTACCTTGGCAGGTTAACCCCAACATGGGAAGTCACTTGGTTTTTCGTAATTCAAGGGGTTTGGGTCGGAATTGAGATAGTGATCAAGAAAACCATTGGTCGTCAGTTTAAGCCCATACAAGTGGTATCCCGGGTATTAACATTGGTGTTTGTGATAACTACGAGCTTTTGGCTGTTTTTTCCACCATTCATGAGATTGAATCCCTTTGCTAGAGGTTGTAGAGAACTGTTGGCATTTGCAGGGCTTTTTAAGCATGGATATCTAATTAGGCCAGACGAGTATTCATGTCCATACTTTTAGTTTCATGTATAATTGTCTATGTAGCAACAACCTTTAGTCTGGATTTTCTCTGTTTCAATCCATTTTCTTTTACCGGCTTATATTAATATCCTTAATCATTGTATAGTGTTTTTGATTCGTGGTATTTTCATGAAATGAGAATATATATATATATATATATATATATATATATATATATATATATATATATATATATATATATATTATATATATATATATATATATATATATATATATATATATATATATATAAAATATCTTTTTATTATATATATTAATCATATTTAATTAAACTATGTTTGTATTCATATCTAATTAAACATTATCTTTGTATTCAGTCCGTCTGACCGATTACTCTAGGTTAATTAGGAAAAATGACTTAATATGATAATATATTTCTCATTTGTACACATTTGGTCTTTAATATTATTGTACATATTTAGTGGTTAATATTTTTTTGTTTCAAAATAAGTCAACTTTGTTTTTGTACACATTCAGTACTTATAAATGTTTTCTTTAAGTTATTTTCACGACATCTTATATGAGACAATCATTGATGAAGTATGTGAGGCTGTTGATGTTTATGTGTAATGTTTCATTTTCACAACAAAAAAAAATATATAAATAAGGCAAAACTCCCTAATTATAAATCCATTATTAAGAAAAAACGTTTGTTCCAAAATATATTTATCGAATCAGAGTAATATAAGAAACACAGAATCCTCAATATTGTTGATGAGTGTATATAGTCATGCATTCTCCTTCCCACGACCAACGATAGAACCTGAAAACATAAACAACTGGGTAATCACAAAGTTTACTGAGTTTCCCCCAAAATACCCGATACAACAAACGTATTATCATGCATAACAGACCAACACTCATCAGATTGGAATACCTTGGCCAAATCAGTCATCAGATTGCAATACCAACATGGAACAGGTCCAATCAGTCATCGTCCTCGAATACTCGGGGTTTGTTGGCGTGTCGCCTTAACCCAACCGCTCATCTCGAGTCTCCATGCCTACACTTATAGTTAGCCCACACCGGATATCTTGGCCTGCATCATATAGTAGGACCACTTCAACCTATCCAACCACCATATGGATATCCCATATAAGATGTCGTGAAAAAACCTAAAGAAATCATTCATAAGTACCGAATGAATACAAAAATAAAAATGACTTATTTTGCAACAAAAAAAATATATTAATGACTAAATGTGTACAAAAAATATTAATTACTAAATGTGTACAAAGTGAAAAATATATTATTCAGTTAAGTCATTTTTACCGGCTAACCTGGAGTAGCCGGTCATAAGGATTAAATATGTACAATTTAACAAGTTGAAGGGGTAATTGTGGACGAAAAAAAACTCAATGACTAAATGTGTACAAATCGAAAAATATATTACCCTTTTAAGTCATTATCCCATAAAATAATCTATGGCCGAAAAAGAAGATGTACATTAAGAGGTTGAATGTGTATATATATATATATATATATATATATATATATATATATATATATATATATATATATATAATCATAGCCAAAAATCAATTTTTTTGTTCTTTTAAGATAAATTTATAATTGAAAAAACAAACGAATATAACGAAATTGATAAATTTTTATCTTATTTATATAGACATTTATATTAATATATAAATAAATGAATATACCAAAATTCATAGTTCTTAGTTTTATATTATCTTTCGATAAACATTGATATAAAAAGCAAAATATTTAAAAAAAAAAAAAAAAAAAAAAAAAAAAACGGAGTTTTTTTTTTTTTTTTTTTTAGAATGTGAAGCGTATACATTTCAAATTTCAGGATTCACGATGTTACCTGGACTTATTAATATTCACACTATATATATGAACATTATATAATTTAGTTTTAGGCATTCACAATATGAAAGTAAGTTAAAATTTTGATTCTTTTTGTTTTTATCTATGTATCGATATTAATGTCTATTTAAAGAGTGCCAAAAAGTAGGAATTAAATGATAAATTTATTTTAATTTTTTTTTGAAAATAAATAAAGATAAAGTTTCATAAATGGTCCTAATTTTTAATTTTTTTTTCACTAATATAGTCCTTATGAAACCGTTTTGGCATAAATAATCCCTTCATAGGATAAATTCCACATATTTGGTCCTTATGACTAACGTTGTTATCAGATTCTTCAAGTGTATGTGAAATGACAAAAACGCACTTTGTATTTTGCACACAATTAGTCCTTGTAACTCTCTTTCTTTCTTTCTTTCTTCTCTCTCTCTCTCTCTCTCTCTATCTCTCTCTCTCTCTCGCGCGCGCGCGCCTAAAATTTAGAAACATTGTCTTATATTGAAGAACAAGATGGAGATTGTAAAATAGTAATCTCTGCTAAATGTGAAATCGTGATTGTTCATCGATTCTGTAAGAAACGTAGGACTACTACCATTGTTCTGTTTCAAGTATGGTACCAATTCCTAGTTGTAATTCTCATAGGAGAGATAGTAACCTAAGTTCAAAGGCGGTAAAGCATGGAATGTAGAGGAGAGAAGGGATGTAGAAACAAGGAGCTACATAGACGATAATTATGATGTGCAATTTGGAAATCAAATGCGCATTTTTTCGTCTCTTCCCGATAAATCGCCAATCGATCATCAAAATCACCTTGTGTATCTCTTACTTTCTCGCTCAAACACTTTCATGCTGATGTGTCAAAAGTAAGGCGACGTGGACCAACATAAGGCGACTAAATACCTCTTTTATCACAACCATCGTGGGCCACCACTATACCATCCGACAACCAATTGCATATGTAAATTAGACATTCAATGGTGTTCTCAACAAGGATTTGGTATGTAATTCTAGGGTGTTTTTTCTTATGTGTTACAATTGATAGTAACTCCCAGATATGCAGTTCATAGATAATCTGGATTTAAGATATTATCTATTTAATATTGTAAAAAATATCTATTTGATTTTGAAAAAAAAACATATCTGACTAAACCGTAAAATTTATCTTTCAATCCGTCTCACGATGGATTGTTGTTATTTATAATTGGAGCTGTAACATATATAGAACATTGTTTTAGGATTAGGTGCTGGAAGGTGTGTATTAGATTTTATTAGTTGAGCAATCTTCAATAATCTAAAAAGATTTTAACAAATGTGTGTTCTACAGTGTAACACCTTATTCCTGAATTCTATGAGATAAAGAGAGAGAGAGAGAGAGAGAGAGAGAGAGAGAGAGAGTCATAAGGAATATTTTTGTTCAAAAAACAAAGGGTATTTTCATCATTTCACATATACTTAAAAGAATTTGTTAACAAATTTAGTCATAAGGACCTTTTATGTATAATGTACGCTCCAAAAGGACTATTTATGCAAAAAATAGTTTCATAAGAAGGTCATGCCGGCCATTTTAGATTCTTAATATTAAGGGTATTTTTTTTCAATTCTAAACATTTAGTTTTGTTTTTATGTTTTCATAGATGGATACAAAATATGAAGGGCATGTCAGTCCTTTTAACATCAAACCTATTGATAACATATCTGAATAGATTAAACACTTTCGCTGTTATATCTCCTGTCTCAAACTTCCAAACACTGTCAGACTATTCCACCAACACCGAGCTTCAAGAACGTACCACCATCGCCAGCTACCGCCACTATCGCGTTGTAGATCGTCAATGCAAGCAATCACCACCACTACCACCATTGTTACTTCGTATTTATCTTTCTCTAGCGAAACACCTCAACTCTCATTCATCTCATTCTCTCTGGTTTACAATGAAAAAACCACCACATATGCATCAGATCTTATGTGTTTAAAGAATTTCATATCTAGATCTTGAGTGTAAAATCCCTTTTACGATGGCCAGTGGTGGTTCCACCACCATTTCAAATCCCTGCCCTCATTTTCTACTTCAGATTACTCTGGCTAGGTTCTAAGAAACCATTAACTTTTCTTCTTTAGCATAAAATCTCATATATGGAACCTCCAACGACTCTAAGAAGAATGGAAATCTCATATCTGGAACTTTTGGCGAATCTAAGAATCATGAAAATCTAAGAGTTAGATCCTCCGACCACCATCAGATATTGATCTAAACTACACCACCAAAATTTATATTCGGATCCAGAAACCAACATCAAGAATCAAACAGTTGTGGTCCACACATTCGTAGGACAACCCTTTTGCTATGAACTACCATCATCACACCACTCTTGAGTGTCGTCAAACTCAACCATCTTCTCTAATGATCTAAAATATGTTGTTAGTCCCTAATTTGCGAATGTATCAATCAGATCCGTTTGATGGAGCGGAATCCCAATCAAACGGATGATGTCAGATCAAATAGAAGAGAAGGAGAAGAAGAATATTATGAATCTTGAATGTATTGATAATATGAATTAAGTTCCTTACACATGATTCACCCACACAAACGTTCCTTTCTCTTTGGCCGTAAACTCCTTCGTGTTCATCTATCTCTTCCTCACACCCTCCTACCTATATTTATACTAGGGGAACATGGTCCGGAAACAAATGGGCCGTAAATGAGTTTACGACCGTAAGGTGTTTACGGCCATAAACTCAGCCATAAACATGACCATAAACTTATAAATATTACAGAAAAATACAATTGCCCAGAAAAGTAAAGTATAAACCATATTTTGACCCAACAATCTCCCCCTTGGTTTATAGCTTTCTTTTCTTAATAACCCAACAAGCTCCCCCTAAAAGGTAGCTAGCTCTTCTTGCCAATCTTCAAAGGGAGCTTGGCTTCAGCTTTAACCTTCGATTTCTTCACAGCATCAGGATGAACATATTAATCTTCAGTGAATGACTTCATCTTGAGCACTTGAGGTTTTTTTTCTTCAGAATTTGGCATTGAACGCACATTGGGTGAGGAGGCTTGACGTACTGATTCTTGAAAGATAGTGCTTTCAGCTTGAGAATCTTCAGAGAGAACATCAGAGAGAACAAATCTTCTAGATCACTTCAG